ATTAAATATGTTAAAAATTGTTCACTGCCCTCAACTTTCTGCTTTACCTCGCTGACCTGGCCTATTAGTGCCAGATTAGTGTTTGTCAAAAGGGACGAAGATGCATTGAGCGACGAAGAGCAGGAATAAAACGGATAAAAGCTTAACTGGCTTCACAGAAATGTGCAGCTGATGTTGAATTTTGGACAAAACAATTATTCCCTTTAGGTGTTTCATTGTGAAAAGCTGAATTGAGATGTCCTGTTCATACAAACACAACAAAAACTCACTCACAGTATGTATACATGTTAACATATGCCCAGATATCTGCAGTGACAGTGTTTAACCTCTAATCTGCATTGACCTTTGCTAAATGTGTAACACTAGTATAACATGAATGATCTAAATGTTGGATTTTACACAATGGTGTGACAAAAACAAAGTCAGATTGTAATTCTGTTAAAATAAAATGAAGTCAACACACTGGAACACTGGTTAACAGCAGAAGTGAAGTTGTTTAAGTGGGAAGAAATGTATTTATGTATTGTAATGTTTATATCTGAGACACACAGGCACTCATGTGGAAAAAAACGACATAACAATTTGTACAGTACTTACAATAGTACAAAATAACTTTAAAATATTTGTTTCCCCTTTTGCCTTGATTGGTTTTACAAGCTAAAGAGCAGCTTCAGCAACAGACTCATTCATCCACGCTGTTCTAAGGAACCATATAGAAAATCGTTCCTCCCCACTGCAATAAGACTTTCTTATAATAATTGACTCTTAATCAGCTGCTATAACATTATAATTTCCCTACGGGGATAAATAAAGTATTTCTATCTATCTATCTATCTATCTATCTATCTATCTATCTATCTATCTATCTATCTATCTATCTATCTATCTATCTATCTCAAAGGAACAAAAAAGTGTTAGCTATGTTGTAAGTACAAACAAACAAACTCTCATGCCTTCATGTTGATGAAAATACTGAAAATTAAGTCAAGTAAAAGATTTGAAGCACCATATGAACATACATACACACTGTACACACACATAAGGCCATAGATATTCATTCATTTCCAAATCAACATTCACTGATCAGACTCCTTTTAACAGGTTTTTATGTGACAAATCCAAATGTGTCCTGATCTTACTGAGTGTAATAAGGATATCTATGTTTGCAAAAATGCCATTGCTATATGAATAAAGATCCTTACTTCCATGATGGAATAAGTTGCAACTACTAAAACATTCTTGAATTGGGTTCTACCAAACTTCTTTATCATAGATTTTCCCCTTTTATTTCTCCCTGCAGCTGTATTTCCCTTTCTCTACTCTAATCAATTGTCGAGGGAGAGAGAATATTGCTCGTCAGATGGCCAAAATCTCGACTCCAACTAATGCTGCTGTATGCTGCCATCTAGTGGTTGCTGGATTATAGTGCAATGCTACATGACAGCCTGGGGCCCGGAGGTTGTTCCTTTCATTGACATCTGAGGGGGCACAAGTATCAATAAACAAATGGCTGTTTAAGGGAGTTTCTAAATCCATTTATGGATAATTGTGGGAGGGGAAATGAAGCTTGTGCCTGCGCCGTCATTTCCACTATGATTAAGATTTATAAAAAGAATCAGGAGTATGTGCGGTATTATAAATCTGAAGACAATAAGTATGAATAAAGTATGCATATTTCTGCCTAAGTGCTTAAGAATAGTAAGGGCACAGTGTGTGTGTGTGTGTGTGTGTGTGTGTAAGATACAGAGAAGAAAGAAAGAGAAAACAAAAAGTGAAAGTTAACTATATTATATTTTTATTTCTTGATTGATATTTTCAAGCTGACAGCTGACAAACACAGCAACATTGAACATTTGAACAAGGGCTTCTTAAACGCATTAACCTTAGCCCGCACTCTGACCTCTTCCTCTGACACATATGTTTAAGTAGTAAAGAATGAGTCAATAGTTTATGCTGTTCACTGGGTGCTTCAGAGTTAATCAAAAACACCTTGTGAAAAAAATGGTCAGTATGATTCACAGATATTCACAAAGTAGGCAAATAAATTATTAAAATAAAATATATGTAATATAAATATATTAAAAAAACAATTTAATGATTGATTAATATAGGATCTTACAGTTTATTCTCTAGCAACGTATTATCTACTATATCCTCCATTAGGAATTATTAGGAAAATATAAGTATTAACGACCCATCATTTATCAGTTAGTAAATTAGTATTAAGTTGTTCCTTATTCGTTCCTTACTTGTTTCTTAATTACCCATAATCCTAAACTTATGATGGTAATGGCAACATGCAGCAGCAGTTGTGCACCGTGCTGGGGATTTTAACATGGTTGTCTGGTTATTTTCTAATCAATCCTAAAATTTTAGTTTACCCAATACTTTGGTTTATGACCAAATACCCACAAAACGAATTACATCCAACCAATGAAATCATCATCAACTGTACTTTGTGTTAATTATCAAAGGTCAACACACTGAAATATGATCATGGTTAAGATTACACCTACTAAAAATCTGCCTGTTTTTTTTTTTTCACAAATAACACTGTGAGAATGTTAGCATGCTAACATTAGCTGTGTCTACAGCCTCACAGAGGCAACATATTTGACCTCCTCTGTTATTAAATTATTTTAATAAACCCAATACATAGATTTCAATTTATTCATTGTTCATATTTGCCTTGGTGATACATTGTAATACACAAAAAAAACCAGCTATTCGATTTGATAGATGTACATACATTAAATTATATTTTCTGCTTAGTTTTTACATTAGGAAACAGTTTACACTTTTTAATTAAAACAATTTTTGAGAATGTTGTTAAAAATGCACTAATCAACAGACAACTCAGTGGTTAGCTTGTGAAACAGGAATAAGTGACTAAAGATTGAAGCACAACCTATTACATATGAATAAACATGATCAGTTCAATGGTTAAATGTTTAAATCAAGATTTCATGCAATATGACTTATTAATGACAAATTCTGTCCCCCTTCTCCAAGAGTCATTGTAGGTTTTAACTTTGGCTGTGAGAGTTAGTGACTCAGACAGACTGTTTCCTGTCTCTACTCAGTCAAGTTTATGATATCCTCTGCCACGTCTCACTACACTCAGGACACCAAAAAAACGTCTTAACAATTTGTCTTTTGCAATACCAGCCCATTTGATCAAGAGCTTCTTAAATGCAATGACCTTAGCCTGCACTCTGACCTCTATCGCTGAAGGGTTTCCTGATGACTGTCTAATGCGCTCCTCCTCTTCCTGTATTGCCTTCTCTGCTTCTTTTAACATCTCATTGGTGTAGCAGCTTCCATTGTTTTCCATCACCATCTTGTCTATGGACTTAAGTAGCTCCTCCACCTGGAACTGGTTGCTCCTGTATTCGTGCTTTTGGTTCCAGTATTTATTATCAATGACATGGCACCTGTCACCACACTTCTCCACCAGATCACTCACTTGCTTATTCGTGTGGACCAAATCCTGAATTGTCTGTCCTTCATTGAGCTGGTCACCATGAGTGAAAAGAACTGCTGCATATTTGAAGAATTCTTCAGAAAAGCATCGGCGCATTTTGATGATGACAGCCTGCTCGTGCTCTGTGAATTTCTCCACTTTAAGCACAATGAGAAAAGCATGAGGCCCAGGAGCGCACTCTATAATACACCTCACTATCTCAGGCTTCAGCTCCTCCTCAGATCTATCTGTGTCAAAGAAACCAGGAGTGTCGATTAAAGTGATGCTTCTCTCATTGACAGATCTGTTTTCTGATTGACATTTTTTTCTTTCAGAGTTGATACTCTGGCTGGGCTTGAACACATTCTCTCCAAATATGGTGTTAGCCAGGCTGCTTTTCCCAGCTCCAGTTTTTCCCAAGATGGCGATTCTTCTGTTTGACACTAAAAGAGAAAAATGTTCATCAATAATACTCTACTTTTGTCTCTTGGTTATTTTGAAAAACAAAAAGATTCACAGGAGCTCAGTTATAGTACAAATCCTCATTGGTCAGAAATCACAATGAAATTAGTTAGTACTCATAAAATATCTTTCAGAGAATGATGAATAGAAGAATAATCTATTGTGGAACACTGATGATCAGAGAGTCCTTGTGTATCTGACAACAATTCAGATTCAATAGGCCTACTTACATTTACCTAACTGATTATATGTATCTGAAACACTGAAATAAAAGCTGTAGACTAATACATTTGGCACACTTTTCACAAGGTCATACTGTGTTGTCACAGAGTAATGCTTCTTTCAACAATAAAAAAAATCTAATTTCAAACATTGGCTGGTGATGGAAAATGAGCCCAGCAGCAACCAAGTTTACGACCTGCCACCTTTGTGACATTCACTCTTTTCACTCTTGTATGGAGCAAAATATTCACAGTGTCGAGGTCTGCTGTCATTAAACAGATCAGCATGTTATCTTTAGCAGGCTGAGGTGGACAAACAGCATTCAGAAAAGAAACAGGATTTAGTTTGGCTTCATTTGAGCCAGTATCAAAACTTACCATCGGAACATCATTATTTACTTTGTGTAAAAAGAAGAACAAGAACAAAAGGAAGCCATCTAAGTGTAGAATCTAAGCACTGTAAAAGGTTATTTAAAACCAAACAGCTATTATATACACATTTCTGCATCTTGCAACTTAATGTGCAGTGTTCATTCCTGTGAGAAACAAAAGAAAGAAATTACCGTCCATGTGTTCAAAAGTAGGACTGTGGAGTGAATTAGTCCCAGTGTCAGTTACTGTAGTGTGATGTCAATATGTGCCCTGTCTTCTCTGTGTTTGATTGTTACTTTCACTTCCTGACTGCATAAAGTGTAAAAAAGGCAGACTGTATGTCCATTTTGAATGGCTCACAGGGTAGCCTCCATTGAAAAGAAATATCATCATATATTTTTGGTTTAATGATAATCTGATTATAAAACACAGAAAAACAATGTTTTGACTTTTAAAAAAAGGAAAAAAAGTTTTGAGAATAAAGTCAGAACTAACTAAATCCTAAACTAATCTGAAACATAACTTCCATTGAACAGAAATATTCAAAAACATTGTTCATCTGACCAACGAAAAATAGAATATTAGAAAATATAAAAATTGTAATGGAAAATTGAACTGATAACCGTTACAGGGATCCTAAACTAAAGGCTGATCACTCTGTTGAAAAGGAACTACAGACACACTCAGTCCACTCGCAGTTGTACAGTGTTGTTATGGAGTGATGCCTCTTTCAGCTCATAAACAATATTTGTTACTTTACATAAAATATGTAAATATGCCGAACCAAATAGCACTCTGATTAATGTGCAGTGAGCAGATAGAAATAACTGAAAGAAATTACCTTACAGTCCATGTGCCTGAAAGTGAAATAACTATAGTGATAATTAAAGTGACAAGACTGCCAGTATATGATAAAAGTGTTCAGAGATGAGTTTTGAGTTAAAAAAAATGATCTACTCATTAAAACTTTAAAGACCCTATCCAGGCATCTATTAAAACATACAAATAATCTGCTTGCAACAATGATGTGCTGTTTTAGCAAAAGAAAAAACTATAATTTTTCCACATCTTTTTCAGGATTTTAAGTTTAACTGCTGGACACAATATGTGATTCTTCCTCCACTGCTTGTGGCGTGTCATTGGTGTGGCAGCTTCCATTGTTTGCTTCAGTTATTAAGTCTATTGACATAAGTAGCTTCTCCACTGGAACTGGTTGTTCCTGTATTCATAGGAGTATTTATTGTCAACAATGTGACACCTGTCGCTACACTTCTCCGATCACATCAGATCACTCACAAACTTATTCAGACTGACAAAATCCAGCTGGTCTCAAAGATTGGTATCAGAGCCAATCAAGGCATTTTCTAATTGATTTATTCAGCTACACTGAGCTATAATAAGCCCAATCTGACCACTCTAAATGGGACCATAGTTTACTAAATGAACATCATAATGTATGGAAGAAGACCTGAAACTAGACTTATAAAAATAAGTCAGCACACTGGAAAACATGGTTAACATCAGAAAAGAAGCTTTTTAATGGGAAAAAATGTAATACTATTAATAAAACAACTAAATATTTATAACAAATAAATAGCTACAAAATGTATTTATGTCTTGTAATGTAACACACAGGCACTCTGGTTGCTGTTGGGGAAGCTTCTTGTGCAATACACACAAACTCTCAAAACAACCTATCCAAGAAAAAATTCAGTTTTTTCTATATTGAACCTGTGGACTAAGGTTACCTTTTATCCTTTAAGGAACCCCATATATGCAAATAAGAGAGAGGATTTTCTTAATAAATAGTGATATTTATAACTCAAAACTATATTATATTATTATTATATTAGATATAACCATATGTAAATTAAAATGAAACAGTAAAACAACCTATTATTGTTAACATGTGAATGTTATCAGTAAAATGTTATTGGGAGCTGTCTTTCTGTCTGCCTATGTTCACTGACAATATTTTTAGAGGCAGATAATATAGGCCTGTGACAATAAGAGCAAAATAATGCAACATATATTTGTCTGTCCTGTTATCAAACAAGTTGAACACAGCTTTGAATGGAGACAGTGAACACGTAGGCCTTTTTTTTCTTTTGTTCATTGTACATCAAGTGAGAAAGTGAAAGCAAATGTTCAAACTTCAGAAAACATTCACATACACACAGGCAGTCTTGTCACTCGGACTAATTTTCACTCTACAGTTATTGGCTACTTCACTTTTGATAATATGGAAGGTAAGTTTACTAATTTCAGTTATTTCTGGGATTTGTTTTTCTTTTTTATCTTTTTACATTATGTGAAAAGTGCACTTATATTTAAAAGTTAGTGATGTCCCGAGTCACAATATGATCCTTTCTTTGGCTGGCAAAGCACTAGTTGACTTTTATTGTGAGGTGAGCCAGTCACAGTCTACTGTCACAGACAACGCTCATTTGATGATTTTTTTTTCTTCAGTTAAAAAAATGTCAGGGGAGTAACTGAATAGCAAGAAGCAGCTACAGTTAATTCTGTGAAATCTCCTCTTGCATATAACAAAAATGGGTCTCAAGATTAATGTTGTTGTAATGATTGTACACCAAATGTATATCCTACCTTAAAATTAACTTAGAATTAGTAAAATTAAATTAAGTTTTGCACTACAGTTGGAGTGAAAATTAGTCATCCTCCTTAGATTAGACGTAGGTAAGAGATGATTTTTTTCCTAGCAACTTTCATGTTTTTCCCAAACTGTGTGCAAATTTTAAAGCATTCTATTTTCTCAAAGGGCTTGAAAATCGTAAATGGGAAAAAAAAACATCTCCACAGTGGAGCATACTCCCTGACCCCTTAGGTTTGGGATAAGCCCTGAATGTTTTTCAATGTCTGGCTCCACCCCTGAAAGCATCACTCTGTAACAACACTATCTAACCGTGCGTGGACTGTTTAGTTCTTCAACCTTCCTTAATATCATAATGAATAAATTAAATCTATAAATGTAATCATTTTGGACTTTCAGTGTTTGGATAAAGTAGCTTGTGAAAAATTAGTTTTATCACAGCCCTAGTAGGCCTGTTAGTTTGAACGCTGAATCAGATGCCCAATATTAAACAGGACCAAATAAGAGCAAAGGAAACTCACTAATAATATTTGTTTACGAAATGATCCTCAGTCTTCTTTAACACAATTAATTACACTTATATTGTTGAGTGATTGGTATTATAAAAGGAGGTGTTCTTCATCATTAATATGCTCACCATGGGCCTCTTTATGTACTGACTTCTTACTGTAAAATGGTTGTATAGCTATTATTATTTTTATTAGTAGTAGTAGTATTATATGTTTTTTAAGTAGTAACTCATTTCCTTTTTTACTGAGATTTTTGACCAACTACGATTTTTGTTGTTACTGAGCTCATGTGTATCTTGTTATATATAAAAAGACAAATGTACAATATTATTAATGAACATTATTCTCTTTCAGTGTCACAGACAGTTACAGAGAACAGAAGAATTGTCATGGTGGGAAAAACTGGAGTTGGGAAAAGTAGCCTGGCTAACATCATATTTGAAGAGAATGTGTTCGAGATCGACCTTAGTCTAAACTCTACAACAAAAGAATGTCAAGACGAAAATACATCAGTCAACGGAAGAATGATCACTTTGATTGACACTCCTGGTTTCTTTGACACAGAGAGATCTGAGGATGAGCGGAAGCGTGAGATAGTGAGGTGTATCACACAGTGCTCTCCTGGGCCTCATGCTTTTCTCATTGTGCTTAAAGTGGAGACATTCACAGAGCAGGAGCAGGCTGTCATCAACAAAATACACGAATATTTTTCTGAAGGAGTCTTCAAATATGCAACAGTTCTCTTCACTCATGGTGACCAGCTCACTGAAGGACAGACAATTCAAAATTTTGTCAGTCAGAATAAGTTCATGAAGGATTTGGTCAAGAAGTGTGGTGGCAGGTGCCATGTCATTGATAATAAATACTGGAAAGACAACCCAAATGATGAATACAGGAGCAACAAGTTCCAGGTGGAGGAGCTACTTAAGTCCATAGACAACACAGTGACGGAAAACAATGGATGCTGCTACACCAATGAGATCAGAGAGCAGGCTAAAGTCACAGTATCCACAAAGATTTGGATCAGACTGGCAGGTACTACAACAGGTGCATTGTTAGGAGCTTTGTTTGGTGTAGTAGCGGTTGAAGCAGTATGTGTTACAGTTGGAAGCAAATTTAAAGATCTAGTCGGATTACCAAAATCAGTGGCAGGAGGAGCAACTGAAGGAGAAATAGCAGCAGTGGTGGTAGTAGGAACAGCAGCAGCAGTGGGAGGTGTATTAGGGGGCATGAGAGGATTTGAAGCAGCTGAGGGAGCAGACACAGCATTGGAAGCTACAAAGAGGGCAGCAGTGGCTGTCAAGGATGACGCCATATCTGTCTATAATGCAGCATATGATGTTTTGAACAAAATGTTCACATCAAAGTAAAAACAGAGTTAAAACCTATAGAACAAATGTGACTGTTGAAGAAGGGCAAGATAATATATCATCAAAAGGTCACATCCCCTTATAAATTACATAGAAATCTTGTTCTAAATAATCTTTACCCATTGAGCTGATTGTTTTTTATGTAATTGGTTGTACTTCTTGTCTGAGCTTTAAAATTTAGCCACTTATTCCTGTTTCATGAGCAAACAACATTGTCTGTTTGATGTGTTGTTTAGTGCACTTACTCTAAATTGTAACCACCAACAACAAAGATAAAACATTTTACCATCATATCTTACAGATATTTAATTCAAACAAGGATACACTGTTGGCTGTATTTCTGTTAGTTCTTAATAGTTTCCTGTTGCAAAAGCTAACCAAATAATATATTTCAAAAACAGTTGTTATTGTTTGTGGATTGCAATGTATCAAAAGCAAATATGGAAAAATGTGAGAGAAAAAAGTTAATTAATAAGGCAATCAATTTATGAATGATAATTACAATGTGACTATAATAGAGGAGGTCAGATATGTTTATCACAGATAAATGTGAAGAGTGAAACAAGACTCTTCAGCCATGCTATCAGCTCTGTGAGGCTGTACTATAGGCACAGCTGATGTCAGCATGCTAACATCCTCACAATGTTAATGTTTAATGTCAATCATGTTCATCATCTTAGTTCATCACTATGGCAACTGATAATTAGCACACAACAGTTGAGGCTGATGTGATTGTGGGATGTTATTAATTTTTGCAGGTATCTGGTCATAAAGTATACACATTGAAAATGTTGAGCTGATGATGATGCTAGATGAAAATTATTATTAAATTATAATATAATACAATGCTTAAATGAATAATTGTAATGCAATGTCATGTATTTGTCACCATATGTCAAATTAAACAAGATTAAATATGTTAAAAATGAAAAGTATTTGTATTTATGTATCTATTTATTTACATTTGTACACACATTTATTTGCATATATATTTACTTATTCATTTATTCACATATTTTTTTATTTGTAATTTTTTTAATATACTTTCATTTTTCATCCTGTTGCATCAAAATAAATAAATGTGTCAGCTTCATCCATTAAAAGTTAGTGGGCGGGTAAAGCCTCTGATTGGTTGACCGAGCTATGAGTTTGGACTCTGATGCAGGGACGCCGGATTCACTCCTGAAGTTGGGGCCTGTGTGTGATATAGCATGTAGGAAAATACAGTAAACAGTTGGGAGGAAATAAAAGTATATAACAGCGTGTCTTAATAATTCATGTTAGTTTAAATAAGCTATATTCATTGAATTGAATTTTGGACAATAAAATACACGACTCTCCCCTTTTGGTGTCTAATTGTAAATGTCCTATAAATGGCCGTATATCTGCAGTGACAGTGTTTAACCTTTAATCTGAATTGACCTGTGCTAAATGTGCAACACAAGTATAACATCAATGATCTAAATGTGGGATTTTACACAATGGTGTGACAAAAACAAGGTCAGATTGTAATTCTGTTAAAATAAAATGAAGTCAACACACTGGAACACTGGTTAACAGCAGAAGAGAAGTTGTTTAAGTGGGAAGAAATGTATTTATGTATTGTAATGTTTATATCCGAGACACACAGGCACTCTGGTTGCTGATTGGGAAACTTTTTGTGTCGTATACAAAAATTTGTGTAAATTGTTGTTAATAAGGTGAGGCAAGGTATACTTAAGCTGTCCTTTTGTCTTGATAAAGTATGAGTATTAAAATGTTTTGAAAGATGTTATTTAAGCAGATAAAGGAAAGGCACTGTTTTCTATATTGACACTCTAGACTAAGGATACCTCTTATTCTTTAAGGATCACATCCAAGCAGATCAGAAAGAGGACATTCTTAATGAATAGTGCATTTCTGTGTCTGTCTGTCTGTCTGCTGCCAATAACAATGTTTTTGTAGAGATGCATGAGGGGCAGACAGGCCTCCAACAATAAAAGCGACAAAAATCAAAAAACTAAATAAATCAGTGTAAGTAAGCAAGTAAGTAAAGCTTTATTTCTATAGTGGTTTTAAAAACACAGTTAGATAGTGCTTCACAAACTAACAAATAAATATAAACATATGTACAGAGGGAATTACAGTATAGTAATTCTATAGTAATCTAGACGGGAGAAAATGAAGGAATGAGTAACAGTTTGCACTTGGCCTGTATCCAGACAAGTTGAACACAGATTTGGGTGGACAGGGCAGACATATAGGCCTAAGGTGTGCTTCTTTGACCCTTGTCCTTTTTTGCATCAAGTCAGGAAATGAAAGTATGTCCAAGGAAAACATATTCACATACGCAGGCAGTCTTCACTCAGACTCATCTTCACTGCACAGCTATAGACTTAACTTTTGATAACATGGGCCGAAAGGTAAGTTAACTGATTTCAGTTACTTTTTTCTTGGTTTAGTTTGATTTTTTTTATCATTATGTGATATCAACAACAAATCTGATATTTTTTCTCTCAACTTGTAACATTAGCTTTCCCATTTTTTCATTGGCGCTGATTGTCACTTTTACCTGATATTGTTATAGTTTTGTTATTGGCAGGTCATAAACTTGGTTGTTTCTGAGTTTGCTCTCTGCTGACAGGCTTGCTGTAGGATACTAGATTAATGTGGTGAAAGACACAACGCTGTAACACTGGACTGATGGACTGACAGAGACATCTTCTCTCCTGCTGAGTCTTGTCAAATTAGTTTTAACGATCGTGTTCTTCCAGTTAAACTTCCCTTAATATCATAATCAGTCAGTTGAGCTTGTTTGTGTTTCGGACTACCAGTATTTGGATAAAGAAGCTTGTGAAAAATAAGGTAGTTGTTCAGTCACTTTAATATTTTCATCATTGGCCTTTTTATATATATTGAAACCATTCTTTATTCTCTTGCTGTAATATGCTAATGCAGCTATTTATAACTGATTTCCCTTTTCATTGGGACGTTTGACTACTGATGACTTTTATTGTAATAGAGCTTATGAAGTGAATTTTATATATTAAAACAAGCAAAAGACAAATGTACATTATTGATGAACATTATTCTCTTTCAGGGTCACAGACAGTTACAGAAACAAACAGAAAAATTGTCATGGTGGAAAAAACTGGAGCTGGAAAGATGTGTTTGAGATCGACTATAGTCTAAACTCTACAACAAAAAAATGTCAATCAGAAACCAGATCTGTCAATGGAAGAAGCATCACTTTAATCGACACTCCTGGTTTCTTTGACATGGACAGATCTGAGGATATTGAGCGTGAGATAGTGAGGTGTATCACAGAGAGCATGAGCAGGCTGTCATCAAAAAAAGTGTTAGGAGCTTTGTTTGGTGTAATAGTGGTCGGAGCAGTACAGTTGCAGTAAAATGTAAAGACTTAGTCGGATTAGCAGCAGCGGTGGTAGTAGGAACAGTTGCAGCAGTGTGAGCTGTATTAGGGGGCATGAGAGGATCTGAAGCAGCTGAGGGAGCAGACACAGCATTGGAAGCTATAAAGAGGGCAGCAGTGGCTGTCAAGGATGACGCCATATCTGTCTATGATGCAGCAAATTATGTTTTGAACAAAATGTTCACATCAAAAAAGTTGAATAAGGGGTAGATAATATATCATCAAAAGGTCGTATCCCCTTATAGACTACATATAAATCCTCTGATAAAGCCTCTGATTGGTTGATCGAGCTATGAGTTTGTGATGCAGGGACGCTGGATTCACTTCGGGCCTGTGTGTGATATAGCATGTAGCAAAATACAGTAAACAGTTAGGAGGAGATAAAAGTATAAAACAGTGTGTCTTAATAATTCATGTTAGTTTAAATAAGCTATATTCAGTGATATACAGTAGCACCCAGTTATATTAAGAACCAACTCTCAGGCATGCACGGTATGTATACTAGCAAACTGTCAACAGGCCATCATCAAAACTGATCACTGTGTCGGTGTTCACTGCCCTTAACTTCCTGCTTTACCTCGCTGACCTGGCCTATACTGCCAGATTAGTGTTTGTCACTGCCTGAGAAGAAAAGGGAGGAAGACACATTGAGCGATGAAGAACAGGAATAAAACAGATAAAAGCTTAGCTGGGTTCACAGAAAAGTGCTGCTGATGTTGAATTTTGGACAAAATAAATCTTCTCTTTAGACGTCTAATTGTAAAAAGCTGAATTGAGATGTCCTGTTCATGCAAACACAACAAAAACTCACTTACAGTATGTATACATGCTTATATAGGCCCAGATATCTGCAATAAAAATGTTTAACCTCTAATCTGAATTGACCTGTGCTAAATGTGCAACACAAATATGACAAATGATCTAAATGTGGGATTTTACACAATGGTGTGACAAAAACAAAGTCAGCTTGTAATTCTGGCAAAATAAAATGAAGTCAACACACTGGAACACTGGTTAACAGCAGAAGAAGTCAATGGAAGAAGCATCACTTTAATCGACACTCCTGGTTTCTTTGACATGGACAGATCTGAGGATATTGAGCGTGAGATAGTGAGGTGTATCACAGAGTGTTCTCCTGGGCTTCATGCTTTTCTCATTGTGCTTAAAGTGGAGAAATTCACAGAGCACGAGCAGGAGGTCATCAACAACAGAAAGAAGTCTTCAAATATTCAAAAAGAAATTCAGCACGTTTGCACTTTGTGCAGTCAGGAAGTAAAATGGCACTCAAACTCAAACTCACATACACTCTGGCAGTCTACTCACTCTCACCTTCAGCTATTTCTGTCAGGTTGAACAATGCGCATTAAGGTGCAAGATGAGGTGCTACACTTAAACGGCTGCCACAGAATGTGCTCTTTATTTATATAACATGGATGCTCTCATACATAAAAACTGATCCTAAGTTACATTCCGGGCATATTTTAATGGATCTGTATCAGCTAAAATGAAGCCAATCATAATCCTATGTTTGGACTTTACCTCAGCCTGCTAATGCTAATGTGCAGCTCGCTTTAATGACAGACTCTACAGCTCATACAGTATATGTCATACCGGCTGTTATTGGGCTTGTGTGCTCCATTATCATTATTTGATTACACTTGTTCACAGTATACTAATCTAACATAACATCTAACATTTTGGCAAAATCATCCTTCACATTGGAAACATGTTGTAGGATAGGCTATTGTAATCAAATCACTGGTTTATGTAAAAGGTACGAGCCTAGCTTGCAGCATTCTGTGTGTCATATGTTTGGTATTTGTGACGCATCTACAATTGTGTTTATCTCTCTCACACACACACACACACACACACACACACACACACACACACACCACTTGCCTCCTCTCTTTCACTTTCCCTTTAAAAAAAATATGTTCTTGTCATCATACGTAGTTTCAACTGCTTTAGATACCAAATGGGGGAAATAAATTACCCCAAAAACAAAACATGCATGACTTTGGGCTATGTCTGAAACATTCATGCTAAATGTAATATTGATTAAGAGACAGGGTGACTAAAAACGAAACTGCAACTAAGACCACCAGAAAAACACCAAGCTGTGACGTACTACTGCACTATATTTCAACAACCTCTAGATGCCAGCACAGAGCATATTCTCTTTCCTTCACCAACTGATGAAAGGAGAGTTTTTGCATCAAGTCAGGAAATAAAAGTATTTCCAATTTACAGTAAACATATTCACATACACACAGGCAGTCTTCACTCAGACTCATCTTCACTGTACAGCTATAGACTTCAGCTTACACCATATTTGGAGAGAATGTGTTCGACCATACTTACAATTCTGGAACGAGTGAATGTCAAGCACAAACCAGATCTGTCAATGGAAGAAAGATCACTTTTATCGACTCTCCTGGTTCCTTTGATGGATAGATCTGAGGATATGTCATCAAAAAAAAGTGTTAGGGGCTTTGTTTGGTGTAGTAGTGGTTGGAGCATTATGTGCTACAGTTGCAGTAAAATGTAAAGATCTAGTCGGATTAGCAATATCAGTGGCAGGAGTAAAAGCAGCAGCGGTGGTAGTAGGAACAGTTGCAGCAGTTGGAGGTGTATTAGGGGGCATGAGAGGATCTGAAGCAGCTGAGGGAGCAGACACACCAATGGAAGCTACAAAGAGGGCAGCAATGGCTGTCAAGGATGACGCCAAATCTGTCTATGATGCAGCAAATTATACTTTTGATAAAATGTCCACATCAAAGTAAAAACAGAGTTAAAACCTATAGGAACAAATGTGACTGTTGAAGAAGGGGTAGATAATATATCATCAAAAGATCATATCCCCTTATAAATTACATAGAATTCTTGTTCTAAATAATATTTACCCATTGAGCTGATTGTTTTTTATGTAATTAGTTGTACTTCCTTCTTGTCTGAGCTTTAAGATTTAGCCACTTATTCCTGTTTTACGATCAAACCACACTGTCTGTTTGATGTGTTGTTTAGTGCACTTACTCTAAATTGTAACCAACCATAACAAAGATAAAACATTTTAACATCATATCTTAAAGATGTGTAAATAAAATAATGATACTGTTTGCTGTATTTCTGTTTGTTCTTAATAGTTTCCTGTTGCAAAAGCTAACCAGATAATATATTTTAATGTATGTACAACATAATTTTGTTAGACAAGTCTTCTGATGCTCCTGCAAAAAGTTGTGATTATTTGTGGACTGCAATGTATCAAAAGCAAATATGGAAAATGTGAGGGAAAAAAGTTAATTAATAAGGTTATCAATGTATGAATGGTGCACTAGGATAATTAAAATGTGACTATAATAGAGGAGGTCAGATATATTTATCACAGATAAATGTAAAGAGTGAAACAAGACTCTTCAGCCATGCTAGCAGCTCTGTGAGGCTGTACTATAGGCACAGCTGATGTCAGCATGCGAACATCCTCACAATGTTAATGTTTAATGTTAATCATGTTCATCATCTTAGTTCATCACTATGGCAACTGATAACTAGCACAAAACAGTTGAGGCTCATGTGATTGGTGGGATGGTTTGCAGGTATCCGATCATAAAGTATACACATTGAAAATTATTATTGAATTATCATATAATACAATGCTTAAATGAATAACTAATGCAATGCAATTTATTTGTCACCATAGGTCAAATTAATCAAGATTAAATATGTTAAAAATGAAATGTATTTGTATTCACTTATTCATTTATTCGCATATTTCTTTATTTGCAATTTTGTTGTATATATATACTTTTATTTATCACCTTGTTGCATCAAAATTAATAAATGTGTCAGCTTCATCCATTAAAAGTTAGTGGGCGGGTAAAGCCTCTGATTGCTTGATCGAGCCATGAGTTTGGACTGTGATGCAGGGACGCCGGATTCACTCCTGAAGTTGGGGCCTGTACGTGATATACAGTGTTGGGCATCTCACTTTAAAAAAGTAATTAGTTATAGTTACAAATTACTTCTCCCAAAAAGTAATTGAGTTAGTAACTCTGTTACCACATTATAAAAGTAATTAGTAACTGTGACGTTATTTTGTATGTTCTATAAAGCTATTACATTCTATAACATCTTCTATAATGTCAAAGATGCTTATAATAACGGAATGAAGAATAAAAACACAATATACAGTATTTTAGAACATTTGGTATTTATTTGAACTGCATAGCAATAAAAATATCTACAAAAATAAATATTGAAAATAAAATTCACACGTTACATAAACATTCTTGCCTTTAACTTCAGTAAGCGAGAAGTAGTGTCGGTACTTCCAGTTTGAAAACCCTACCTTTGAATTTCCCTGGCTCGTCGCCATTGTCTCTGTCTTGTGTTTATAGTAGTAGTATGAGCGTGCAGTGAGACAGCGTGAGCAGGGCATCCGCCCACCCAGCCAATCATCATCACATTTGCAACAGTGTCATCATCACCACCCTGCTCTCTCCCAGCAGCTGATGTGTGTCTGTCAGAAAGCCTGACACCGCTGCGCTTCATTCAACCAAATTGTAGTAAAAGTATATAACAGTGTGTCTTTATAATTCATGTTAGTTTAAATAAGCTATATTCAGTGATATACAGTAGCACCCAGGTTTGTTTATATTAAGAACCAACTCTCAGGCATGCACGGTATGTATACTAGCAAACTGTCAACAGGCCATCATCAAAACTGATCACTGTGGCGGTGTTCACTGCCCTTAACTTCCGGCTTTACCTCGCTGACCTGGCCTATACTGCCAGATTAGTGTTTGTCACTGCCTGAGAAGAAAAGGGTCGAAGACACATTGAGCGATGAAGAACAGGAATAAAACAGATAAAAGCTTAGCTGGGTTCACAGAAAAGTGCTGCTGATGTTGAATTTTGGACAAAATAAATCTTCTCTTTAGACGTCTAATTGTAAAAAGCTGAATTGAGATGTCCTGTTCATGCAAACACAACAAAAACTCACTCACAGTATGTCTACATGTTTATGTATGCCCAGATATCTGCAGTGACAGTGTTTAACCTCTAATGTGAATTGACCTGTGCTAAATGTACAACACAAGTATAACACCAATGATCTAAATGTGGGATTTTACACAATGGTGTGACAAAAACAAAGTCAGATTGTAATTCTGTCAAAATAAAATGAAGTCAACACACTGGAACACTGGTTAACAGCAGAAGAGAAGTTGTTTAAGTGGAAAGAAATGTATTTATGTATTGTAATGTATTATATCTGAGACACACAGGCACTCTGGTTGCTGATAAGGAAGCTTCTTGTGTTATACATGGAAACTCTCAAACAGCCTAACAAAGATTTGTCCAGTTACTTATTTTATTTTGTAAGGTTTTGGAGAAAAATACCTGTCCTTTTGTCTTGATAAAGTATCAGTATTGAAACATTTGAAAGAAGTCATTTGAGCAAATAAATAAAATGAATGGGTGGCAGAAAGGCACTGTTTTCTATACTGACACTGTGGACTAAGGTTACCTCTTTAAGGAGCACTGTACATGCAGATCAGAAATATGACTTTCTTAACGAAAAATGCATTTTTACTCAGAAATACAAAATTTGTCTTGTGTGTCTGTTTTTTTTAGGGGCAGATAGGCCTGTAATAATACAAGTGACAAATGGAAAATCTAAATAAACTGTAGCCTGTACCCTCTTGAACAAAGATTTGGGTGAAGACAGCCATGTGGGCCTAAGGTATGCTATATTGTCTCATGTGCATCGAGTCAGGAAATGAAATTTACAGTAAACATTTTCACATACACAGGAAGTCTTCACTCGGACTCATCTTCACTGCACAGCTATAGACTTCACTTTTGATAACATGGGCAGTAAGGGTAAGTTAACTACTTTCAGTTATTTTTGTCTTTGTTTTGTTTTGTTTTGTTTTTTAAGATAATGTGAAAAATTATGCTCTCATATTTAAAAGCTAGTGGTGATATAACAAGTGCCTGATAAGGCCTGGCTGAAGTCGATCAAAATCCAACCCTTTCTTCACTGAACTTTTCAGTCTGCTGGTGTTGCAGTGCTGTTTTCTTTCATGACTCTGCTTGAAGTTTTCTAGAGTGAAAAGTATCTCATTATCCTACATAAAAATCTGACAAATTTTTTTAACTTAATTTCTAACATTAACTTTCCCAATTTTTGTGTCACTTTAGTCGCTTTCACCTGTTAAAATATTGTTATGGTTTTGTTATTGGCAGGTCATAAACTTGGTTGTTTCCGGGTTTGCTCTCTGCTGGCAGGCCTGCTGTAGGATACTAGATTAATGTTGTGAAAGAGACAATGCTGTAACACTGTAGCTCAGAGTGGACTGACAGAGTGAGACATCTTCTCTCCTGCTGAGTCTTGTCACATCAGTTTTAGGGATCGTGTTCTTCCAGTAAAACTTCCCTTAATATCATAATCAGTTCAACTCTTTCGGACTACCAGTATTTGGATAAAGTAGCTTGTGAAAAATAAGGTAGCTGTTCAGTCTGTGGATCTGTCAGTCAGATAGCCTAGACATTAATTCAAAACATAGGTAAATATAGCACAAGTAGGCCTATTGGATTGAACACTGTATCAGTTATCCAATAATAAACAGGGCCAAATAAAAAAAAAACCCTGATAATCAATATTAATCTGTTTACAAAATGATTCTTGGTGTTGTTTACCACAATAGATTAATTTACAGTATATTGTTGAACAGTGATTGGTACTGTTAGAAGAGATTAGACACATATAAGATGTTCATGATCTTTAATATTCTCATCATTGGCCTTTTATATATATATTGACACCATTCTTCATTCTCTTGCTGTAATCTGCTAATGGGGCTATTTATAACTGATTTCCCTTTCCATTGGGATTTTTGATCACTGAAGACTTTTATTGTAATAGAGCTTACTAAGTGTATCTTATATATGAAAACAAGCAAAAGACAAATGTACAATTTTACTGATGAACATTACTCTCTTTCAGGGTCAAAGACAGTTACAGAGACAGACAGAAGAATTGTCATCTTGGGAAAAACTGGAGCTGGGAAAAGCAGCCTGGCAAACACCATATTTGGAAAGGATGTGTTCAAAATCGACCATGGTCTCAACTCTACAACAAAAAAATGTCAAGCAAAAACCAGGTCTGTCAATGGAAGAGAGATCACTTTGATCGACACTCCTGGTTTCTTTGACACAAGGGGGAGACCGGAAGATTTGGAGCCTGAGATAGTGAGGTGTATCACAGAGTGCGCTCCTGGGCTTCATGCTTTTCTCATTGTGCTTAAATATGAGAAATTCACAGAGCAGGAGCAGGATGTCATCCAAGAAATACTCAAAAACTTTACTGAAGAAGTCTTCAAATATGCAACAGTTGTCTTTACACATGGTGACCAACTCCCTAAAGGACGGAAAATAAAGGATGTTCTCCGCCAGAATAAGCTTGTGAGAGGTCTGGTGGAGAAGTGTGGTGGGAGGTGCCATGTCTTTGATAATACAAACTGGAAGAAAAACCCAGAGGATAAATACAGGAACAACGAGTTCCAGGTGAAGGAGCTACTTAAGTCCATAGACAAGATGGTGAAAGAAAACAATGGAAGCTGCTACACCAATGAGATGCTACAAGTAGTGGAGGAGGAAATACAACAAGAGGAGGAGGAAATACAACAAGAGGGGGAGCACACTAGACTGTTACCACCAGGAAACATGTCAAAGAAAGAGATCAGAGAGCAGGCTAAGGCCAGAGTATTTAAGAAGCTTTTGATCAGACTGGCAGGTACTGCAGCAGGTGTAGTGTTAGGAGCTTTGTTCGGTGTAGTTGTGTCGGTTGGTGTAGTTCTTACAGTTTTACGGGAATCTTCAAAGCCAGTACAATTAAGAGGAGCTATAGCCAAAACAG